TTCGATGGGAAACAAGAAGTATAAATCTGTCCTGCTTTCGCCCGATTTTCTCGGACACGAGGTGGAAGAAAACACGAGTAGAAAAGCAGAACCAGTACGAGTTTATCGGTCGACGAACTGTGCCGGTGTCAGCGCGATTCAAAATGCAATTTGCATCGGCGCCGCCTGGCCGCGGAAATCGCAAATGCGCTCTGATTAGAGCCAAGTTTTCCGGCACTGCTCGATCAAGGATAAAACGGGACCGACCGGGATCGCGGGAACCGAGAAAGACGGCGTGCAAGACGGGAAGCGAGTTGAGAAAAAAGGAGAAAAAGAGAGAGAGCAAAAAAAAAAGTAGAGGACTAAAGAAGGGAAAAGATTTGCCTCGGCTAATTGCATGAGATATGCGATTGTTTCATGCATATTCAATGGGTTCTCGAGGTGGGAATAGCTGATCGCTATTCCTTCCGCGCTATATCTTCCGGACCCCTTCTTCATCTTTTCCCGTTTGTTTTTCTTTTCCGTGAAACGTCGCCGCGTCGTCTGCTCTCCAAAACATCTCCTCTCCGCCAACGAGTAATCCGATCCTGAGCCACGAAGTATCCTTCTGTTTGTCGATATTTCCGAAACATATTCTACCGACTGCGTTTTGCAAATAACTCTCCTCGGAGCATAAACGTGAACATGATCCATGTACATCGAATCGATAATGAGACGGTTCAACACGACGGATAATCAAGTGTTCCGATCGACAGGTTCAAAGTCTTTTCGGCGAAATACGAGCTGCGCCACCGCGGCGGCGAACGCATACGCGTGGGCATCGAGGTTAATTGATAAACAGTACTCCTGTTTACGTGTATGCGCCGACGAGCAGAACCAAATACATCCCCAACCTCCCCCCTCCACGCCCTCTTTATTGAGAATCAATCCGACGATTCGCCGACTAATTAAATACTGCTTTCGATATGCTCGACGAACAGAAATCAGTCGACATTGCCTGACTGTAACGCGTTTATTTCGCAGTCAGTGGCCTCGTGCCTTCCAACGTGTGTGACGGGAAACTGGATCGATCGATCGATCGAGAAACAAGCTTGTCTCGTATGCAGGAAAGATCCTCCGGAAATGTCTCCGGCGGGCAGCCTTGCTTCGAATAAACTTGCCAACTTTTGGCTCCTCGCCCCCCTCATTCGAACGGACCGCAATAATCACGGATCCTCCTAAGAGTTTCGTTAATGCGTTCCGAGGACGTTCCCGACGAAACACAATTTTACGAGACGAACCTACCCTCCTCGGAATGATTATCGGATTCTCGAAGAACTGTTTTCCGCGACGACCGTCCCAGCGTCGAATTTTCTATCCGCGGTTGTTCCTTCAAAGTATCGGCAGAATGATTGATCACGGGAGAGGAACTGGGTTGCGTATTTATTTTTTCACACCTTTGTTTCCCCTCTTCGTTTCTCGCCACCCACTCTGTCCACGCTGCTCCCGACCGTTCAGGCGTTCGCCTTCCCTCGGGAATTGTATTTACACGTAGCGAACCGATAGTTTCTAGATTTTCTTGGCCTTTGCCATCGTTTCTGGTTTAAATCCGCAAATTTCGCCTTGCGTTATATGTATATCGTAATACGGTTTGACAATTAAATTCACGCGGTCGAAACCTTGTCTGTTACGGTCCGTTTCAACGTCAATGAATACAGAGCCTTTGATAGTTTTTGATCGATGAAGGAAACGAACAAGGATAACGTTCTTTATCTCGTTTGCAACGATTTTGTATGGTGTGTCATCCTATCGAGTTAATCCTAAAGACGACAAACCAGATATTCCGTCTGTAAATCCATTTTAATCGATCGTCTGAATAGCACGATAATATGGGAATTGTTTGGAAGACGATTCAATGCCGAGTGATTGACAAATTCGATATCGGTCGGCGAGCACAGAAATATTTGATAAATTTTTGAATGACGAAGAATCTCCAGGGGATGCCCGAGAGATTTTTGTAACTAATTCTACTCGCGTCCGACACACACGGTCGCGCGCGGCTCTCCAGTTTCCATAGCTGAAATTCTATCAGCAACGGATGAACGGATCCCGCCCTCGAAGCACCGATGATTGATGGCGAAGAAACTGGGTTAGAGCTGTGTATGTTTTTTTTTTGTTTTCTCTCCACATTCTTTCGATTCTCGCTGGTTTCACGTGACACAGGGAAACGCGAAATAAAGCGATCCTTGCACGGTCGGAAACAGATACTCATAGTACGTATCACTATTTTCGTAACCATATATTATCGTGACTAGTGTCGATATTTATAAAATAATAACGAAGTTAGTATTGTTCTTTATCAATGCTATCGGTATTATTGACCGTGTGAGGTCCACTTGGGGATTTACACGGTGTTCCCATAGTTTTTCTTTTTCGAACGCTCGAACGGAATAAACAGTGTCGAGAATCGAAATACGACTAGGACACAAAAAAGAATACAGACTGTATACTTATATAGGCCATGGAATAAAAAAACGTCGCGAGTATGAAGGTAAACAAATGGACTCGGAAATTCCCGATATCAGTCCGACTCGCGTCTCAAGAGCAAAGAGGGGTCGAAGAACCTGAAGAAGCTAGGAAATTTAGGAACCACGAGAATACGTCGAATCCTCGCCGCTTTCTTCGCCGGTGAATAGCCTCGTACAATAGTATTGTATTTCTTAAAAGCACGTGCAAGTTTTCCGAGCAATGCCGTGGTCGCGTATCCCAGAAACTACTCGACAGCGCTTCGAACCGATTTAGCTCACCGAAACAACCCGAAATCGAATAAACCAACAAAATTCGATCCTGGCACTGAAGCTGTTAACGGTGACACTCGACAAGTCTCGCGACACGATGCTCCAAGATTGTGGTAGTTCACGCCTAAAATTGCTTTACAGAAGCTAATCTTAAACATTCTTGAAAACACCGGAGGAGAAGCAGCGAGGATCGACAGTAGTTAGATTTCGCGATAAAACTTTCCCGCGTGAAACTTTTCGAAACTACGTACAGCGATCAATTCTGTTCCCCCATCGAGGGGAAAATATTCTCTCCCGTTCTCGCGCCGGTGCGAAAATAAAGAAACAAAAGAACAATATTTTCAAACTTACCGCCAAGCAAGATGTTCACCAGCAGCGGTAAAAATCGGTATCGGCGCGCTCTCGACATGATTCCAGAGGTCTACATGAACTGAACTTCCCACTGTAAGAAACCTTCGGCCGTCCACTCTTTCTTGAATCTCTTCTTTTTGTCTCTTTTTACCAATGTAATTCGTGAAGGAGAACACAAACCCGCGCGTGGCAACGAAAGCGCGTACGATACCACCACGTATACCGGTAAACAAACAATTTATCCTGGCTTTATTCGCGTCGAAATAATAGAACAATACGAACGGACGGTGAATAGGATAGTTTGGCGGTTCGAAAACGTTCAAGCGAGACCATTCGACAGTACAAAAAGAACGAAGAGTAGTTGCGCGGACGAAGTCTCGGCTTCGACTGGCGCGCGCCAACGTATCTGACCCTCTGATAACCGGCCAGCCCCCGCTGGTTCAAACCTCTCCCCTCTCGTGAGCTTCTCTCTGCATATCGTCATCCAGGAGGCACCAACCCCGACAGGACCCCTACCCCCTCTTCTGCTACCAACTAATTTGCGATTTAACGTGAGTCGTGGACCACCTTGCCCAAAAAGACAGTAAACTTATTGCACCGGAATAACCGGCGAAACCTCGAACCACGTGTCGTCTTTGCGACCAGAGAAGGAGGCAAAAGTGTAAACATAACTAAACGTACGATGGTAATTGTACGCTTACTCTACAAATCGGCTGGCTTTGTCAATGTTATGAGACACGTATGGAGGAAGACGCGGTCTTCCTATGTCGTTCATATAAGAAGTAGTCATCCAAACATACCCACGAAGTGTTTATTAATACACTGCCTACAAGAAGTACTTGCACCATTCACATATTTAAAAGAATTTCTTCAACTGTGCTGTAAAAGTATCTAAGACTGAACACTACTTTGAATAAGCATTAATAAGCTTTCAACAATAACGAGAGAATTATCGTAGAGAACGATTCTTATTATTAACGTTTAATGTAGAATCGGGTATTACCAGGCGTGATGAGGAATAATTTACTGCACGAAACAGGAGGATATTAAACCACAAGATCTAAAGTTTCCTAGTTGGAACCCACACTTCGAAGACTCCCCCTTATTTACGTATACAACGGAATATACCGCGGCCGCGAACGTTTACGCGTTATTAAAATCTATCAAACTATTACGAATTTACGAACTTCGATTCATAACTACTGGAAAGAGGAAATCTCTTCTGCAATCTAAGATCGAGTAACGCGATTAACCAGCGCATAGAATTAATAAAGTTTATTAAACAGTTATAGGTATCTCCGACAATCTGTTACGTGAACTGAGTAATTTACAAACAATAACAACAATTTCGTATCCATGAAATGATAACGGTCGAATAATCCTTTATAACCTTACGTGTCATTGAAAAAAACCAAGATGAAATGCTAACTTACCTATTCAATCACGATATTCAAATGTTCGCGCTTAAATTTCGGTTCGTTTATGAAAATCGCGAAAGTATTTGAGAAATTGAGTAATATATAGTTGAGCTTATACTTATCGAGCGGCATTTTTATTAAGTTTTGAATAAGACAGGTGTTCCGAATATAATGTTTCCAGCCAATAATGCGCGCCAAATGATTTACTACAAAGTTTACAAACGTATTTCTAATAACTGTGTCTCAGCCTATCAATCACTGTCGGGAAATCTTCCGTATATCTTGTAGACTTTATTCATTGTAGTTTTTTGCAGGCATTAAGACAATTTAGAATGTCTTCTCGGTGTATTTACAAACAGAAACGGTGCGATGAGACAAGGAGAAATAGAGTTTCCGTTACAAGGGTCATCCTTCGTATGATGTTTCGTCGGAAGCGAGGGTCCGTAAGTTGTTGAAAATCAGCCGAAGCATTTAACGTGACGAGGAGTTTTGTATGTATGTACATTGTACATAAATCAGACGTGAGCGCCTCCTGCGAGTTGCGCAACAGCCGCGAGGATTCAGCACCGTTGTAACTTTTTGGCGCCAACTGACATTCGGACTGCAAGGCGCTGTATAAATCCGGTTCTCGTAACAATTACGTTGAGAAATCAGTACGTAAACGATCGACGGTATTAAAAACGATCGTTCGTTCGTACGTTACAGTCATAAAAACAGTTTTACTCGGGTAGTTCTAAACATAACCTCGGTATGGTTTCAGTGCCGCCAAGGAAAGCAACAAAACGGTCTGCTGAAATTGCTTCAAAAGGCCCAAAGGAGCCGAAACAAATTAAGAAAAAACCAGGTAAGTTTTTGTTGCGTCCACGTTTAATATTTTCCTGGATTAATTTCCCGACATCTTTTGGCGCGGAAATAGTATGTATCCATTAAGGCGGGAGTATCTTATCGAGAACAGAAACCCACTATGGATATCCATGTGTTTCGACGTTACGATCGATAAAATTATTATGTTTTTTTAATTATTGTCCAAAACAGTATTCACGGTTCAATTTGGTTCAATTTTTCACATTTTACGAAACCGTTCGTATGATTCTCTCACATTTCATGTCGTAAATATTGCGTGTCGTAGGGCTTAACGCGATTTATAAAATACAGAAACGTGGATTGTACCCCCATGAATAAGCTACCGTGTTGGCTGGATCCTTACATGCAGTATTTCGTTTTACATTTAGTTATTAAAACTGACTTACGGCAATCTTCTACTGGCGGCGTATTACTGACATTTGGACAAGGCGATGTGGGACAACTTGGTTTGGGAGAGGAAGTAGTCGAGAAGATACGACCAGCCGTTATTTCTGGATATCAAGATATTATAGCAATAGCAGCTGGTGGCATGCACAATGTGTGTCTAAGAGAAACAGGAGAAATATTAACTTTTGGATGCAATGACGAAGGAGCATTGGGAAGAGACACGTCTGCAGATGGTTCGGAAACCAAGCCAGGATCTGTCACCCTGCCTGGCAAAGTTATTCAGGTGACAGCTGGAGACTCCCATAGTGCTGCTCTAATAGAAGATGGAAGAGCTTTCGCATGGGGTTCCTTTAGGGTATAATCTTTTTTAATATTTTGTACATTGCGTTCTACTTAAAATAAAAAATTATATAAAATTAAAATTTACTTGTTAGGACTCCCATGGCACTATGGGTCTAACATTGAAGGGCAATGAACGATTTCCAATAGAAATACTGCCAAACATAAAGATAGTTAAAATAGCATCTGGTGCTGATCATTTGGTTTTACTTAGCGAAAATGGAAAAATATATACTTGTGGATGTGGTGAACAAGGTCAGTTAGGCAGATTAGCTGCCAGAGCAGCTAGTAGAAATACCCGTCATGGTATGGGTCCATTATTATCCCCGGGTCTAGTTGAATTTAAAATTACAAAGAAACTAGAATTTGGTGATGTATGGGCTGGAACATACTGTACATTTGCTAAAGAATATCATTCAGGAGATATATATGTGTTTGGTTTGAATAATTATTATCAAATGGGTAAGTATAGGGGAAACATTGACAGAATACTAAGTATAAAGTACTATTATATGATATGAAACGATTGTAGGTTTAAAGGATCCTGTTACCCAGTTTCATCCTCAAATATCAAAGACGTTTAGCGGAAGAACTTGGAGACACATTAGTAGTGGACAGCATCATAGTATTGCCCTTGACGACTCTGGCCAAGTATTTGTTCTGGGCCGCAAAGAATACGGTCGTCTTGGACTGGGATCTAATTGTTCGGACGCGAAAGAATTAACACCAGTTCCCGCCTTAAGTTCCTTTAAATGTGTCGACGTTGCAGCAGGGAGTGCTCAATCTTTTGCTGTTACTGAATCAGGTAGTTGCATAGTATTATTATCATTAATATCTGTACATACTAAATTTCAAGAATTATATATTACGCCTTATTGTACAGGAGAATTATATGCATGGGGCATGGGTTCAAGTGGGCAACTGGGTACAGGAGAGGAGGAAGATGTTGAAGAACCTATATTAGTTAAAGGAAAGCAGTTGGAAGGAAGAATAATAGTACGCGTAGCGGGTGGAGGTCAACATACGTTAGCATTAGCAACAACTGGTTTAATAAAAGAAGAACACACTGATCAATGAAACGAATTACAAAATTTAAAGTGTCACTACGTGATCAAAATTTGAACAACGAAAAACTTATTCCGTTTTGATTCTCCTTGCGTAAAAATCACAACAAAGGAGAACATGTAAGTAAAAATATTTTTCACAGTATATTGTAATTTTGACATTAACACAAGATACTTAAATCTGTACATAAATTGTTATGTCACCAAAAATTACATCATTGTGCTTGTAATGTTTAATATATGAATAAACATTTTTCTACATATGGATCATGTTTCTATCCAAGGTATTCCAATTTATTATACTTAATCTATATATACGCCACTACCAATTCAAATGTAACCCAAATACAGGTATAATCGTATAATCAATCAAACGAATCTATTTAAAAATTTTAAGGTTTTTAGCCAATTATTGATACTGCTTAAAAGACATTTTATTTAGAGCTACATAGATAAATATGGAACAACACTTTGGTGAAACTAACTTTTATAAACTATAGAAAAAGATTAATGACTTTAAAGAGGTAATGTTGGTACTACCTTCAAAGGTGAATGTTTCTGAACATGATTTTAAATTACCTACAGAAAGAATATATTAAATGCATAAAGATAAGATTTACAGTAACTATTTTCTTAACAAACTACTGTTTTATTTAATTTGCTTTTGGTTGCTCTGCAACTTTGCCCTTCAAGAAACTATCTTCTTGCATAGAAAGCTGAGTCAGTTTCTTCCCAATGCGTTCATGAACATCTAGATATTTGGCAATACAACGGTCCAAGCACACAGATTCTCCTTTGGACAATTCTGCCTCAATATATTTTGGTGGAATACATTTTCTATGGCAAGCAGATGTCATACGATTGTACATATCAGACATCATCTCAATTTCTAGATCTTGTACTAATTTTAACTGATCTTCTCCCAATTGAGGTAACTCAGCCATATTTTTCGTTTGATTGCTTATTGTTTTATAATCTTCAAATTTTTAAACAGACACTTTAGTTTACCAAATTAACCTTGCGCATTTGTTGCTTTCTTTTCATATTCCGATATCTCCTGTCATTTACACTTTTTTTGGAGAATATAAAAGCATATATCCCTGCACCTGCAGTTATAGTCCTGTAAAAGGAAATGCTGTATGAACAGTAACTACGAATCCTCTTTATAATATACAAAACCGCAACATAATAAATTGAAATGAATATACAGACATTATTTATTATTACATAAAAACTTATGCAGATATTGTCATACAAGAAGCTAATCCCGAAAAAAAGAATCGATAAAGACATTAGTCTTCGCAGGTGATTTAATTGCACATACCTACCATGCGATCCCTATTTTCGCAACAGTTGGCAAACCCATTCTTTTTTAAATTATGTTACGAAATACTTTTGAATTACAAATGAAAAATTTGTGTATACCTGTACAATCATGCAACCATACGACCATGTGACCTGTAGAGCTTGTAACCTCTTTCGGTTAATTCACTAGATAAGTGAAATATAGTTTGAAGTAGTAACGGTAACATAATAAAAATTAAAACTAGACGTGAAAGATATTCTAAAGGTTGATACTTTGTAAATTATGATTTCAATCATGTAAATAATGATCTAAGTACGTAAAAAATTATAAAGCACTATACAGTACGCTAATGTAAAACTACTTTGAGAAAATTTATACGCGTACAACCAAAATGATCACATATTATCTGCAAATACCTAGTAAACTTTGCATTTCATAAGTTTACGGTCAGTCCTATCTCCTATCCTAAATATATTTATCCATATTTTCGTCACCACGCGAGGAAATCCAGGGAAAACGACGATAGAAGTCCGTACGTTACAAAGGTAATTGTTATACTGCGTAGAAAACTGACAACTCGTTACAATTGATAGTTTCTCGTTTTGCTATTTACACCGAATGATATTAGTTCTGTGTAAAAACCTACTATCCTCTAAGAAACGAAAATAAACATTGTAAAACAAACGACTGTTTTTGTCAGACGATGGTTTAAATATTTTCATTGAACAATTGAGGTAAAAGGACATCGATGACTAAGTCAACGATAATTTGTCGGTGACATTAAATGTTTGTATAAAGCAGAAGTAAAATCATGTTAAAACAAAGCAACTTCTTTAATCGTAACATCGATATGACATGGAAAACGTTTGTTCGAGAATCTCACGATGTTCCTGACCTATCGTCCGAAACAAGAGAGCATCGATTAGGATTCGAAGGAAGTCAAGCAAAAGAGGCTTATGAAGAAATTATACGTCCAGAAAGTGCCGTGAAATGTTCACTGGAGAAACACAAGAACTGTAAACTGAACACAGCTGCTGTTCAAAAGAATACAATAGTGAAAAGTATTATTCCCAAAGAAAAAGGAAAAAGTAATCAAAATCCGCAGGAAAAGGTGTCAATTAATGCTATATTAAAAGCTGTAGAACAAAAAGATCTAAAGTTCTTAGTAAAACATATGACACAAGAGAATGTTAATTTAACAGATGATTTTGGTTGGACACCTCTAATGTCAGCAGCTTATTGTGGACACTTAGACATTATAGAATTTTTACTAAGTTTGGGGGCCAACAAGGAAACAAGAGAAAAATCTGGTCTTACAGCTGCTCAATTGGCTCTAAAAAAGAATTATTTAAATATAGTTGCTTTATTGAAAAAGAAAACAGCATCTAGGATTAATAAAATTCCACCAAAAATACATACTGATAATTTACAAATAAAAACTGATGGTTTGTCACAGACAAGGTCTGAGTTAATAGATGCATTAACAAGTTGCAATGGAACTGCTACCAATATTGGTGATAATATACAAGTTCAATCAAACCAAGACACAGGATTTTACTGCGAAATTTGCAAAATCAGTTTTCATCAGACAACTTGGAAAAAGCACGAGACATCTACACTTCATATTTTTAATACAAAACCTAAACTGCCAAATGCTATGTATGGCATATCAAGACAAAATAAAGGTTATCAAATACTTCTCAACTCTGGATGGGATGATCAAGCTGGTCTTGGTCCATCAGGAAAAGGAATAAAATATCCTATTAAAACATGTCTGAAAACTGATAGGAAGGGATTAGGCCAATCAAATGATAAGGAATATAGAGTAACCCACTTCAAACCCGGAGATCTGGCAGCAGTTAATGATATTAAATCATGCAAACAAAAATGTTTAAAAAAGAAAGATAGGGAAAAATTATTACATAGAGAAGTTAGGAAAGAAAGAGCACTGCGTATTGCTTTATCTTAAAATGATGTGTAGGACTTTTATAAGTTAACATTTAATTCTATTCAAAGACTGAATATAATGTAATTTTTATATTTGCTATTTCTTTAAAATGTGTAAGTGAACTGTTTCTTGTATAGTACATAGAAAAAACTTTTTGCAGATAAAGTTATATTTGAATAATTCATTAGAAGTTTTGTTACAGATGAAATTTGATCAACAGAAGGCATTAAAGCATATACAGCAGGTAGAAGAAAAAGCAAGTGAGATTCTCACAGATCGACAAGAAATAGTTGCTTTGGACAAAAGAAGAAATGATGATAGAGTTGGAATGAGAGCATTACAGAAGGAAAAATGTAATAAAACATGGGTGACTGTTGGACCATTATTGCTGAAATTACCATCCAAAAGTGTAGAAGAATTACTCATGAAAGGTTGTGTATTCTTTATTAAACTTATTTTCATTAGATAAATTATATTTAATTTTATTTTTCCTGTTACAGATCAAAAAGAATGTGATATTGAAATCAACAAATTAAGAAGTGATTTAAAAGTTAAAGTAAATGAATTACGAGACTTAGAACTTAATCCACCTGTTCCAGGTTTGATGTTACAACCTATGTCTCATAAAGAAATGTCAGCAATAAAGCAAACCTTGGGTCAAAATTCGTAAAAGTATTTAAATTCACTCTGTTAATGTAAAAAAAACATTTACTGATATTGTACGAACATGTGATCAATCAATTTATTTCTGACTTTCTCCTGGTGAAAATGAATCTAAGCACGACATAAATCGGTTGATCGGTTGACGACATAGATCGGTAGAAGTTTTTTCTTTAAACAAAGACACTTTATTTCTCAAAATATTGATTTGCTTTAGTAATATACCAAGGATGTAGAAATACATATTCCAAATCAGGAGTAGGTTTTAATTCTTCAACTGTAATTGTATTTTTTCCTGGTATATACGTAAATTTATACAGACATTTATCATAATTTTGAGAAATTACTGCTTTCATACGTTCTAAAAGCCCTGTACAAAAACTTGTACATCCTTCAGGATTCCAGTCATGCTGTAATGGAAAAGAAATTGCTGAATTCTAGGTTACATGCTCAACTAAAACTAGAACAGATGTTTCATTTTAACTACCTTTGAATCCTTTACTAATTTGTTGAGATTAAATTTCTGTATAGAATGGACAATACCATTATTATCCCTTAAACCACATATAATTTTGTCTATACCCACTAAATAACTTTGGACCCACCATTTAAGTGTTCTATGTGCTCTGTAACTGGCAATACTATTCTTGTATAGATTAAGAGCATTATGATGCATTGTTTTCATTTCTACAAGTTCAACTTTTTTTCCTATTAATGTATCTTGTATTGGATGCTCAGAACAAACGGCATCCACTTCAGCACCATAAAGTAAAATGTTGTTGCCAAGTCTAGACTTAAAAACACAACAAAATTCTTCATTTTGATTTAATGGTTTAGATAGATCTGGATTTTCAGAAGGACTATCTATTGAAAAGCATAATCAAATTTATTACTCATTTGTTTTAAACATTTAAATTGTGGCAACAAATTGCTGCTTACTGTGCATACCTGATACCAAATACTGTTCAAATTTATAGCCCCAAGAAGTACATCTTTTGTGAAATTCATTTTTATTTATTTCATATCGTTTCTTTTTATCTGTATCGAAACCACATAAATATATAGTGCCTTTAAATTTTGACGCGCATATTATCCATCCATCTCTGCTGTCAAATGGTGTGGCAAGTAAATTACTTAACACGCCGCGATAGCAAACAAATTCCGGTTCTAACCTAGTAGGTAATTTTGAAAAGTTAAAGATTTCAGTGAAATTGTTTAATGATAACTCATAATCTTAAAAACATGTCATACCATCTTCTATTCTTCGAACGTTCCATTTGAAGGTGATTAAAATTCTCTGAGATCCATTTCAATAAGTAATCTATCTTTTTATTTATATTGTCCAGTTTCTGAATTGTATTTAAATTGTCATCAAGATTAAAGTCAACATTATTCAGATTTCTTGGTTCTTTATAATACTTCAATTGCGACAAATCGCTGTGATAACATCTGTTACCATCGAAACAGTAAGTACCGACGATTTGCGGTTCGGTAAAGTATTCTTTACATTCATTATTTTGTAAGTCATTTACGCAAAAATACATTGTTCACTTTCTACACTCTTCATATAATTTAATGTAACTTTTTGAAGTCAATCAAAACTTAATTTTAAAGTATTTTACCACTAAAAATCATTGGCAGAGCTGGCAGAAACCAACAAAGACGTAAATATGGTTTATTCGGTTTATTTTCCAATTACAATTTCTAGTACGCATGTGCATACTATACTGTCACTGTGAATGAACTACCATTGAGTCTTAAAGTGACTTAAAGTATGACTATTGTATGAGTACTGTATCGCGGAGTATTACGTGTAATGCCTAAACCACAGCTGTGACATTATTTTACAATGAAATTGCATTACTACAGAGTTGTAGAGTATTCATACGAGTGCTGTGTGACATGTGACATTACAGGGCCATTTTACATATTAATAAACATAATAACATATATCTGTAGCGTCATCTACGGTAAAATGCCCAAGCTAAAAGTCTGATCTTTTGTTATTTATAGCATTGACTGTTACAAGACATACTGACATAGAGAAAATTGTCGCTTAACCATACACTCGTAGCGGTCTGTTTAAAAAACTATACAAAAATAAATTATAGAAAATGACATCACGAGAAATATTAACTATTCAAGTTGGCCATTACTCTAATTTCGTTGGAACACATTGGTGGAATCTACAGGTACTTAATAAGAAAGTTATTTATACAAAGGACTGATACAAAATATTTTAATTTGCATGTCTTTTGCATTTTACGTTTTTATAGGAATCCAACTTTTCTTATGATCCTGATAATCCCTCTGAAATAAATCACGATGTACTGTACAGAGAAGGGGAAAATTTACAGGTATAAATATAGATATGATACAATTTGTTTTTAAAGTGAAACATCAAAATGACAAATAAATTATGTATTTTTAGAAACAAGTGACATATACACCCAGATTACTACTTGTAGATTTGAAAGGAGCACTTGGATATTTAAAAGAAGAAGGTACTTTGTATAATGTTCCACAGCAAGACGAAACAGAATTTCTGTGGAACAATAAAAAAGTAGAAGTTACTAAGGAAGAAACTGTTCGTAAGACTCCATTCATTGAAAGCCTGAATAATCCTTCGGGAGTATCACAATCGACATCTTTTAATTTTGACGACGATGTTAATACATGGGTAGATTATTTATTGCCCAGATTTCATCCTAGAACTTTAAATATAATTAAACAGTACAAGCATGACTGTGTGGAACGTCCATTTCATGTTTTCACTTATGGAAGAAACTTATGGAGTAGCGAACAATTTTCGGATGATTTCTCTGATAGAATAAGAAGATACGTTGAAGAATGTGACTTAATGCAAGGTTTCCAGGCAAGTGCATTCTTGTATTTATATAAGTTATTGTTGTAACAGAAATTAATAATATTGATAATATCTCAAAATGTAGGTGATTCTAGATTCTGTAAATGGCTTCGGAGGACTTGGGGCCTCATGTATAGCACATTTATACGATGAATATGGAAAGGGCATAATATCGTTTCCATGCATGGATAGCATGACGACCAGATCCTCTAAATTAGGTTCGATTAGAGCTTTTAATACTGCCCTGTGTTGGCAACACATAGAAGAACATTCTTCGCTCTATAGTCCACTTTGTTGTGGACAAACAGGTTGGTCTCAATCAGAGAATCCACGAATGTTTGAACACTTAACATATGACCCTGAACTGAAATATCACACTAGCGCGATACTAGCAACTGCTTTGGATGTTTTGACAATGAGATATAGACGCAAAGAATATCCAAATGTCGTTTTAACCGACTTGTGTGCGGATCTCAATAAATTGGGCCGCAAAGCAGCAGCAACAAGTTTGACTTTACCGTTCCCAATGACGCCGAAAATGGACTTGATTGATGTGTTGGACGAATTTACAGGAACTTTTAAGGTTGAAGCGTCCTATGCCACATGCAATGAAACAAGTCTCAAAACCAGCCTATAGATGTTCTAACGTTCACGAGATGATGTCGCTGTATTTAGCTTGTACTTGTCATGCATCGGCGACCTATTTATCGACCATTTCTTCGCCACTGAAGGTAACACATCCATATCCGAAAATCTTCGGCAAGAATGTTACTGAAAAGGGAGAAGTTGTTGGATGGCCCGTAGGAAATGGTACATTAATAATATACTTATTCAAATTCTCTTAATAAGTTCAATGTTTCTATCGATTAATTTTCATTTTCAGATGTCAAGTCTGTTTCTGTTATGGCTGGGTTACACAGTGGAAATAGCCTTAACACAATGTACAAATCTTTGCACGATCAAGTGAGCAAAATAAGAAGTATAAACAAATTGCATGTCTTTACAGATTCTGGTTTAGAAGAAGATGAATACAAAGAATGCCTTAACCATCTGCTTGATTGCAAAGGAAATTACGAAGACCACTATATCTAGGCAATGTTAATTAATTTAATTAGTCCGAGAACTAATTGTTTATCTTTGTACAATACATTACTTTTGACTAAAAAGACATGTTACTTCAATTTCTTTATTTTCTCCAACTTTACTTGCTCGCACGTTTCTCACGTTTGAAAATATAATTAACGTGCTTAAATTTCCCTGTGAATGCCTGATTGAAACGCCTCCGAAACTGGGTGCGGCACGACACACCCTAGTTATATTAGATTTCCTATCGGGGGTGCGAGGACTCAGTTGGAAGTTCTAACTCGTAAATGCGACACCCGGTGAACTCGTTTCGATGTGCAGACTTGTGGATCATTCGTGAACTGTTCTTGCAAAACTAGAAATGGGAAACAAGGTAGCCACGTTTACTGAGGAACAATTAGAGGATTATCAAGATTGTACTTTTTTCACGCGTAAAGAAATCTTAAGGTATTCAGACGGTAGTTTTACTCTGTTTCGTTTCAGCGCCTGTAGACCGACATTTTTTTCAGAATATTTAAGCGTTTTCGCGAGATGGGAAATCCTGGGATCATTCCACGGACCATGACACCTCAACAAGCATCGAGTCTTCGTATACCGCTCTCGTGTTTGACGCGTATACCAGAGTTGAAGGTTCTTTTCATTCGAATACTCGTACGATTGCTAACATCGATGAGCGAACCTTTGTATCGGTGATAAAGCGGCAATGTTTCAGGAAAATCCGTTCAGGCAACGTATATCGGAGGTGTTCACCAAACGTCAGAATTCGGAACAGTCGTCAGCTGCTGACATCGAAGGTATCTGCTTCGAGGAGTTCCTCGAGATGATGTCGGTTTTTTCGGAGCAGGCGCCGCGGGACTTGAAGGTCTTTTACGCCTTCAAGATTTACGGTACGGACCACCGCGTGCACCAGACAATCGGACGAATCGTGAAGGAGCTTCAAGATCGACCTTGTTGCACCTACGGCCGTTCGTGTTTCTACGGGATGTGAAGCGAGCATACCATACGTCGCTTAGACACGACGATCGCGTTGCGACAGAAATATCTGCCGGGGGTGTAACTATTGATTTCTTGGGAAGCAGAATCAATTGCAATTCTTTATACTATAGTAGTTTCATCGATTGTCATGTTCTTTGTCGCGGTGATGATCCATTTTCATTTCAGAAATGACACGAGTATAATGTGAGATAATGTTCTTTAACTGCGTGTGAATAGATTTCGACGAGGACGGAGTACTAGGGCCGAGTGATTTGGAGCGCACCTGCAGACAGCTGGTCCAAGGTGGTTTGAATGCCGACGAGGTGGCCACTGTATACCGGAAAGTACTCGAGGAAAGCGATATCGACGGCGACAGTGTTCTGTCGTATTTGGAATTCGAACACGTCGTCACGAGAGCTTCAGACTTCATGGCAACCTTTCACATAAGAATTTAATCCTGTTTGTCAGAGCGGTACAATAAAACTAAATACGAAAACCTCTAAAAAGGGAAGTATGTTTATTTTCAATGCGTACAGTCAATTGACACTTCTTTTTCAACTTTGAGTTATTTTTTAAAGATGACACCGTATCGATCCGTATTGCTATTCGTACAATATTAAGTGTAAACATTCGATAATTTTCGGGGTATAAATAATTAAAATTACGATGCCAATAGTGAGTTAAAGATGCTGCTGATACACTCTAAGATCGCGAAGGGTTAACCGAAGTTTCGATTAATTTTATTTATTGTCTAGCAAATTATGTACTTGCGTATCACCACGGTACCTAGCTTTAACGATTTTTGAAAGGGGAATCGGTACATGGCTATGCTACGAAAATATGTATAAATCGGAGAGTGACAAGTTTGGTGTTTCCCTTGTTAGTTTCCTATCGAATAGTGTTTCCAGTCGCGCGTGAAATATAGCAGAGACATCGGATCTTAACTTCTTGTTCGATGAATTCGTAAACGTTCGCACAAATCTCCGTTATCCGAGCCGATCGGACAGAATAGTTCACGCAACGTGCAGGGTTCACGGTAAATGTATCGTGAATAAAAGCATCTCGCAAACTCACGAAGGATAATTATTAGCTCCATGGATCTGTACGTGCTTACTAAAGCGCTATCGTATAAGTACTTGCGGGTCACAAATATACTTTCTTACACGGCCCCATAAGTTGCCCCTGTTGAGCAATAACGAGCAATCCCGACTAAATAACCGGGCCATTCGTTTTCACTCCGGACAGGAACCTCCCGTGCGTCTCCGCCACTCAGGGGAATCTTCAATAAGACTACATCACTCTTGCAAAGAGAAAAAAATCAATTTCACGTATAGCGTCGGCATAATGGGGGAGGGGGTGAAAAGAAACAGCGTGCCTAAAAGGAGGTCCTTTGGTCGTAGTTACGTGTACACGCGTGTAATGGCGTCAGTAAGGTGTTGCATTCAAATAAAATGCATCTTCGTGGATCATACGATCTGGTAAAACAACGACGGTTGAACTGCTCGAACTTCTACCCAGTAGGTAGTGTACGGGGTCATCGTAAATGGGAAAGAGGAAAATCAAAAGGACAGGCTAGTGTGCAGTTCTGGAACAAATCATGTTCCTGCTGCCACTAGAAACATTTTGGAATCAGAACTCTACACGTGTATATATATTTGGAATTCCAAATAGCAAACTACATGAACTTCAATAATCGATTTTAGATGTAATGTATATAGATACTATATTACCTCTCTCAAGGGAGAGAGATTTGTTCACGTTACCCGGTAACGAGCTTTTGTAAATCTGATCGTATTGGATCGCGGAAGTTTGAAACGAAAGCTTCACCGTGGCTAATGGTCTTTTCGGTTGTTACGTAGTCCCGGCCGCTTCTCGACGATTCGGAGCTGTCATGGTAACGCCGCGGTGTCGTGGTCCGGTCGTCTTAAAAAGCGGTCGAAATCGGAGATACCGCCCTGTGTTACGGAGCTCGACCAGTTATAGTCGGCCGCGCGGTAACTAACCGAGTCTTGGGACCAAGGCCATCCGGTCACTTCTCATCCCTCTCTCTCTCTCTCTCTCTCTCGCTTCCCCGCCTCGAATCCCTACCGTTTCTTCTCCTGCCGGTCCGTCCGGAGGCCCTCGGGGTCCGAGGAAGCCCCCTTGCCTCTTGGGTCCACGGACGACACCCTCTGTGCCTCTCCCCCTCCCCCCTGCTCTTCACCTCATGGGGCCCCCAACCCCTCTCCGCCGTGTGGAGCAGCGAGGATCGCCGCTCTCAAGAGTCTCCCCCTTAGCTATCTCGGCTAACCAAGCAACCGGCCAGCCAACCAACCACCTTCCATGCCGAGGTAGGTATTCGTACATTCTTGAGCCTCGTCGACGTTATGCGACGCGATGCGCCGTGGATCGGCTCGTCCCGACGAGTTGCGCACCGAGGGACCAAGATGCCCTCCGTGGTTCGAACAGAGGGAGGAAGGGATCTAGCTGGAAGCGAGACGAGAAGTCAGAGGAGAAGAGGAATGAGAAGGCAAAGATCGCGGGTGGCGGCGGCGGCGGCGACGGACCAGAAAGAAGAGAGAATGAAGAAGACGAAGGCGAAGTCGAGGAGTCACGGAAGAGAGGGGGATCCGCTGGTAGCGGAGGCGGTTGGCGGAGGGCAGATTTGAACCTGACTTTTACAGCACCCTACGTGGGCGAGTTCTCTCGCGCGGGAGATCTCGAGAACCTTCTTCGGGGCCTCGACCTCATGATCACGCAGCGACATCATTGACTCCGAACGTATTTCAATGGCTCGGAGATCGAAGTACACGGAAAACTCTCTCTACGCGAACGAACGGAAAGCGGATACACTTTGCTCGTATCTTCCACGAATGATTTTACGAAGCATCGACCACGTCGAGATGTTTCTTCGTTTATGATGTTCCTTCACCGATACTGCTAATCGTATCGACGAAAATCTCGATGAAATTGAGCTACTGATTATCATTCGATCTCTTACAACGATATCGTGAAAAAATGTCCACTTTTCGTTAACCCTAAACTTCGTACGACTCTCGTATTTTGAGCCCCTTCGGGAGACCCGAGAACTAACGTTTGTCGAAATACGAAAGATACATTATTTATGATTCGAATGAATGTTGGAGTTTACCACGATGAATAAGATTGCTTGGCTTAAACGAATTCTGGTGTAGATGTTAACGGTTAGGCTCGACATTGAGGCTCCTGTCGGCCACCAGTAAATGTCCTCCATGGAAAGCATATACCTACGCATTGCTTTCTGACAAGGTTGCGTCGACCACTGTCTAGTCGAAATAATATTGGCGGTCTTGTGGGCACATATCGCGTAGTGGTTCATAAGGAGGCGAGAGCTTGTATATAGAGAGAACAGTCTACCAAAGAGGGGGAGGAAGGGTTCCAAGGAGCCGGTTGGCCAACGGAATGTGGCTTGACCGGCCGACCATCCCCCGCCTCCTCTACCATGAATCCATCGAGAAGCAAAGAGCAAGAAGGAGAGCCAGATAGAGGACTGGCCCAACTACCTCTGGATCCTAATGGGCCCCATTGGGGTGCTCGAATATTCTTTCGCTATCTCCGGGCATCTTAGCCGTGAGATTTGTAATCCGGGGGAACGCCGTTTTTTTGACGTTCCCCCCTGATGTACCTGCGGTTCCCTGATTTTCGACTCGTCCACGTTCGGACGAGTCGAGAAGAAAGAGTATAATATATATATAGATATATTTTCATCGGTTAGAATCGGAAAAGGAAGCGTGATCTGTCACTGGTGAAAACGAAACGCGATTTATGCGTTCGAAATTGGACGATTGAGTAGGCAAATAGGAGATCGGCGTATTATTGCGAGTCTATCTTGATCTGTCGCAATCGTTGGAGGTAATTGCCAACTTCGCCGACACGATTATCTCTATACATGGACAAGAAGGGAATAAAAATGGCTGCAAACTATGTGCCTATCCATTGACCATGCGGAGATGCTTGTCGTTGGAAAATGTGGTGAAGCCAATGCGACGCGACGGTATACGTCTCTTGTCTTGAATATCCCCGATTCGCATTAACGATCCATCGTTCTCAGCAAACATTTCGTTGGGAAATCGTATGCGGGAGTGCTGTACGAGGGAACTTTCGCAATCAGCATAATTGTATTCTTCTAGTATCGGCGGTTTTACGCGCCGCTCCGCGTCGACTATATCTCTGAAATTACGTCAGATCGCAGTCACCGGCTCGCCGGTTCAATGTTGCATTTTATATAAAGTCTGAAACCGGCGAACCGGTATAGGCCGGCCCGAATAAAACTTCGCGACGATACTCAACGGCGTTTCGCAACTGGTCGTGGCCGGTAGATCAGCTTTCCGCTCGAGTACCACCTAAATTTATTCCACGAGCGTTCCGTGCATTCGAAAGCCCCCCCCGTATCGTCCGCGGAATATCATGTGATTTCCACGTTTTCGGCAAATAAAACCGACCTCCATCGACTGGAAGTAGCCGAAAGCGAAAAACGAGGGAAAAGTCAAACGGAAGGAACACCGAATAGCAAGAACGTGTAAGCCGCGCGAAACCGCGGAACGACGAAAACTTCTACCTTGCTAATTGTCGAAATGTTTGCGTTACGTCATTCCGCGATGCAAACGAGAGATGGGCGGCGGCAGCTGAGACGTCGTCCTTCCGTTTCGTCCGAATTTCAGAGAAAGGGCGTGATCCGCTATCCTCCATCCTTTCTCGTCTCTGTAAACTTGTAATCGCAAGGCAACACGCATTGACTTACCTACGTAAGCACACGTGACAAGCGTAGACAACCCTGCCAATTATTTGCACAATAACTCACGTTCCTGGTATCAACAAACAAAGTGCAAACACACCAGGCGTCGGTTTTATCGTATAGCTCCTTCGGCCAGCTTCTCGTTTCATGTTCTTTTGCTTTCAGTACCACTGAAAATCAACGTCCGCGTACGAGTTTCGTGATCGTATCGTTGATAAATCGACCTACGATTCTTTCGTAATTTTGTCCAGGCAATCGTCGGCGCATTGCACGCGCGAAAACTCGAGATTCGATCGGTCGACTTGCCTGGAAAGTTCCCGAAACTCCGGACAGCCGTTCGATATTGTTACCGATACAGCGCGTTTCTTCTCGACGATTACGAAACGGGGAAACTGGTTAACGTAGTCGCTGGTCGTTGCGATAATCCAACCCGACTTTGCGCCAGGGCGGAGTCGAAAGCAATGAATTTATCCGCAGCTACTTGGAAGGCAATGGATTCGTTGCACCGAATAATTATGGCTGCCCTGACATTATTCCGGGAGTATCTAATCGCGCAGAATGTAGCACCGCGTCCATTACCAGAGACAATGATCGATACCCGATCGTTTGCGAAACGATCGTACCGTTGATGTCGCCGTCTCTGGGACGAATGCGCGAGACCGCGAGACGATTCGTCGTTTGCGTTTCACTGTTCATTCGTTG